TACTCTAGTTTTTTACTATTTTTGGAGTTGATTTACTATGCCTAATTGATTTTACAAAATCGTGTATCACAGCAGATTTTCAGAAACTGTATTTTTGTGTTCAAACATTTATTTCTCTCAACTGGGAAATGTTTTTTCAGAAATTCTTTCTCTGACATGTTATTCTACATGTCTAGAACATTCCCACAAAAGATTTCATAATTTTTGGAGTTCATTTACTATTTTAAATTGATTTTACAAAATAGCTGCGTACTGCTACAGTACTCCGGTCGACCGGACCGGTCGACCGGAAATGTCTCTGGAGCTTTTTTCAGGTTTGTACAGTACGAGCGGTCGACCGAAAAAATGGTCGGTCGACCGACCTGCGCCCAGAATGCCCATAACGGCTAGTTTTTTGTATCCGTTGGAGGGGTTTTTGGTCTTTTGGTTTGGGCTTTTGTTTGAGGTATTGGGAGGCTATAAATACCCCCTTATACCTCAGTTTTAATATATAAAAAAGAGAATGTTTTAAAATAGTTACAAAGGTTTAAATTATAAGCTTTTAAGCATTTGAGTGTTTTGAGTTTGTGAATTCAATTTCACAAGAGCAAGTGGAGATCATCCTTTGGTGTTTGAGCATTCACTCTTCTCCCACTCTCTTGTCATCTATAGAGAAGTTTCATTAAACTCAATTCTAGCATTTTATAAGTTTGTTCTTAATTTCATAAGCTAGATTTTATATTGAGTTTATATTGTTTTATCTCTTTGTTCACACACAACCTATTGAGCTTATTGTATTTTCATTCATAGTATAATTTTGGGTTGTGAGATTAGTGACTTAGAGTTGTGCTTAATTGAGTTCTCACCTTGTTTTGAGAACAATCATTTGTCATATTTGTGCTTATTGTGAGAATCACTTTGTAATACACTTGTACACCGAGTGAGAAGTGTGTGGTGAGAGTCGGGGATCGTCCCAAGAGGAGTGGCGTCGGTTGACGTGTCTAGGGAGAGGTTGTAACCGAACACTTGAGGGAGACACGGCTAGGTCCAACACTTAGTGGGTGTAGAGTGTGATTGCAAGAGTGTGAGTTGTAGAGTTTTCGGTTAGCTAGAAAAACCGAGTGTGTAGAAGAAGTTCCGGCTTCCAAACCGGATTGTGTTAGTGAATTTCTCCCCGGGAGTGGGGAGCGGAGACGTAGGACGGAAGGTCCGAACTCCGTGATCATATAGTGTGTTTGAGTGTGCTTTGGCGTTCATTTATATTCATGCTCATATCTTATATCGCCATTGTCATTTACTCTTAGTTCATATTATCCACTATCTTGTTTACCCTTGTGTTAGTTTATATATCCTTGCACATACATTGTCTATATCTCTTTGTTAGGATATATCTTATTGTTTATATATCCTTGCATAGAAGAGAGGTACTCTTCAAACTTTTGTTGATCGAACTCGTATTCGATCTCTTCGTTCACCCGGATCTTGAATGCCGGTTGCGTCACGACAGCCTCGGCAGCGAGGCTGTTGGCTCCCACTGTGGTCGCCAGTTTGTTTTCGTCGAAAGTTGCCTTCATCATTGATTTCATTAAAACTTCAAACGTTACAAATGAATTCAAATAATGAAAATAAAAATTACAACTTTCTTGAAAATAAACACAAGATCCGTTTATCGTCTCTTGCTTGCGTGGGTCTTTAGCCTGTGACGGGGACGTCGATATCCGTGGACTACCTGGCAATTAGATCTGATCCAGAAAAATTGGGCAGAGCTTCGTCGATCCGCGAGGAGATCTAGAAACTTGGAGACACCCCTGGGGCGTCCCCAAAAATCTAGGACACCCCTGGGGCGTCCCCAAAAATCTAGGACACCCCTGGGGCGTCCCCAAAAATCTAGGACACCCCTGGGGCGTCCCCAAAAATCTAGGACACCCCTGGGGCGTCCCCAAAAATCTAGGACACCCCTGGGGCGTCCCCAAAAATCTAGGACACCCCTGGGGCGTCCTCAAAAATCTAGGACACCCCTGGGGCGTCCCCAAAAATCTAGGACACCCCTGGGGCGTCCCCAAAAATCTAGGACACCCCTGGGGCGTCCCCACAAATCTAGGACACCCCTGGGGCGTCCCCAAAAATCTAGGACACCCCTGGGGCGTCCCCAAAAATCTAGGACACCCCTGGGGCGTCCCCAAAAATCTAGGACACCCCTGGGGATTTTAGTGATTCGAATTGTGTTGGAATTCTGACGAAGAGTTCTATCAGCCCCGATGGTTGGATTATCTGTAGAACGAACGAGACACGAAAGGCGTTGTTCTTTTTGTAAACATCGCGGGGCTCTCGATTAGCCTGTGCCTTCGTTATTCTGAAATTCTGTCAGTTCACGTAGTTCGTCGATTCACTTCAAATGTTCACCGACGTCAATTGAACTCCTGTGAACCAGATGGTGACGTTCATTGTCGTTCCTTAACACTGAGCTATTCGTGGAGACCTATAGGCAATTTTCGATGCCTACACTCATGGCAATAGGAGACACTTCATTGGTGTGGAGACTTTGGGGCGACGAGATGAGATGACAGTTTCGATGGGTCGTTCCTTTCTGGAGGAGGATCGGTGTTGGTTGTCGAGCATTGGTTCTGGAGCTTCGACATATTTGGGTCATCTTAGTCACAGGTTGTCGACTGCTGTATTAGGAGTTATTGGATCTGGTGGAGCTGCTTCAGATTTTGGGTTGTGTCGGATATTTGGATACCTAGTATTTGGTCACATCGAGGATGTGAGATTTGATCCGATTGCGTGTTTGGGGTTCGGAGGCTCAGTTGATTATCGTTTGGGAGCTTCTGATTTTGTTCTGAGCAGGTATGTCACTTTTGACTCTCGGCAGGTAGAGAGTGTTGATCAGATTGTTTGGATATCGTAGCAGGTGGAGAGTGATGCTACTCCACGTTGGGTGGAGATTACTCCACGTACTCCAGATTATACTACGTCATTTGGGATTCCAGATGAGGTGACACATGTTGGGGATCATTTGATTTTGGATGCAGATGATGGATTGGTTTTGGACTCGGTTGTAGCTGGTGGACATGATTTGGATACGGCCATTGGTTTACCTCAGATGGAGGTGTTTATTTTGTATCAGTTTGGGGCCGCTATTAGTTGCAAATCCGTCAGCGATATTGAGGAAGAGTTGTAGACTTTTCTATTTGTTTGAGGTCCTTTGGAGACCGTTTGGTGAACTACGTGAAGGCTTGATTCCTTGGGCAAGAGGATACGTAGGCAGTCTTTATGATGCAGCCGATTTGGTGAGTGACATTGACATTTGGGGTGAGTGTTCACACTCCCATTTGGGTCTCATTATGTGAGGCATTTGTTTGGTTGGTGTCGGCTCAGTTTTGGAAAAACTTCGCCGAGGTGGAGAATTGTGGAGAAGAACTTAGAAAAGCAGTTTTTTGGTCATAAGTCGACTCATGCACAGGCATAAGTCGACTTATGGTAAGTCGACTTATGTTTGTGCATGAGTCGACTTACGTTCTGCTCTGGATTGTTGAATTTGGGCTCTGGCAAGTCGACTTATCAGGTCTGATAAGTCGACTTATGATCTCTTCTCCAGTTGTTGTTTTTCGCTCTGCCAAGTCGACTTATGCAGACTGTTAAGTCGACTTATGGCGGGTTTTTTGGAAAGTTCAGGTTCCTATTTGCAGTCTATTTGGGTTTCTGTTTTGGTATAAATACCAATACGATTTGAGGGTTTTGTAGGAGCGTTTTGGGGGATTTTGGAGCACAGAAAAGAGAGATCTTTCTGAGCTATTTGTTAGGGTTATTGGTTGAGAGATTGAGAGATTTGTTGGTGAGATTAGTTGGTTCGTTTGAGCGATTTGTAATCTCAATTTGTACTCTCCTTCTCTATTAGTGAAAACCCACCCCCCTTCTTGCCCCGTGGACGTAGGCAATTGCCGAACCACGTTAAAATTGGTGTTTAGTTTGTGCATTGATATTTGGTTGTTTTTGGCCTTCTTGGATCGGCGTTTGTTTTGGTTCCTCGGCGCCGCCGTCAGCACAACAGTTATTTGTTTCATAGTCTTATATTAGTAGCTTATAGTAATATAAGTCTTCATTAGTCTTTGAGTTAATAAGAATCATTATCTAATCTAATACTATTATAAAAGTGGATTGGAATGTTAAAACATTTCTTCCGAAAATACCCTTTGAAATATCTACATACATACATAAAATACATGCATCCATACATAAACCATAGCATAACCCCCAATTAAATGCATACTCATAATACATAAAATACATGCATTCATGCATCCATACATAAATCATACACTAGTG